AATCTTTCGTGTGCAACCTTATCAAAAGCTTTTTGAAAATCCAAATATATAAGATCAACAGGATCTTCACTATCCAAAAACGTGATAATATATTGTAGTGATTCCAACAAGTTAGAGAGACAAGACTTCCCTTCCATAAACCCATGCTGATTCTGACTAATAAATCCCTTAACATGACTGTACAGATGTTTAAACAAAAGCTTTTCATACACTTTACATAGGATGCAAGTTAGAGAAATTGGTCGATAATTACCAGCATCACTAAATGCCCCCATTTTATGTAATGCAATTATAATTGCTCTCTTCCAAGCTTCTGGGAATTGTCCGACGTCTGAAATAGATCTATATAAAGCTGTTACGTACGGCACTCACAAAATTATCATTTCCCGCTAAAATTCTAACAATTTTTGGATGAACTCCATCTGGCCCAGCACACTTTGAGACATCTAGAGCCAGCAGCTCATTTTTCACATCATAGTCACTAATTATTAGTGGATCAATTTGTTTAACAGCGATCATATCCATGTTACAATCGCGAGTGAGTGAAGTCTCGTTTGTAAAAACAGTTGCAAACGATTTGACAAGCAAATCAGCAGACTCCTTTACACTAGTTGTAAATTCTCCATTAGGCTTTTTCAACTTAGATACAGTGGGATTGGACTTTTTCTTACTACGTAAGTATGCATAGAACTGCTTAGAATTGTACTTTATTCCTTTAGCCAATTTTTCTCATAACTTTCCTTACTTTCCCGTTCTACAGTCTTATATTGATCTTGAGCCTCAATAGCAGATCAGACATAAGATTGTAATGTGTGGGGGACGTATCAAAACAGTGCCAAGCTTTATCTTTGCTTTCCTAGAATGCTAAAGTCTAGAGCATTCCCATGGCGCTTTCTTAATTGGAATTCCTTCCTTCGTAGTTTTTAGCTTAATAGTTGGCACAGAGTTATCAACAATATTCAAGATCTTATTCAATAATTCCTGACTTTGTGTATCTACAGAATTATCAAATACACCCGAGTAGAACCAGTCCGTCTGTTGCCCCAAATATACAACTTTAGCAATATCACATTTCGACCAATTATACTTTACAGAGGTCAAGTAACTGGCGTCGTCATATAGCTTAAGGAAGGGCAGTGGTATTGTTGAGTTTCAGTAAGAATATTAGACGGTTTTAGATAACAAGACGTGGACGTCAAGACACAGAGTAGATAAGACATACAGAGACGTAACTGATCGTTGTAAACACTGCGGAAGATTACGTTATCATGTACCCACTTTTTTTCAGGCGACCTGGCGAAAAATGATCAACTGCGCGTGCTCAGCAAGTTTAAAGTGAGTCGTCATCAGGTCGTCATCCAATCAGATGCATGCATCCAGTAACTTGCCGAGCATGCGCACAAAAAAAGTGGGTACACTAGTTACGTCTCTGTATGTCTCTACTCTGTGGTCAAGAGGACGTGGATGTCGTCATTTGGCGCCAACTATCGTCAGCTTTTAGTTTGCGACGTCGTCTTGGACACAGATGAAGTATATACCAGATGTGTAACTTAATAGGACTTCGTGTCCTCAAATTTCCCTAGATGTACACGTCATGCTCACGCCATGACACTTGCTAGGAAGATGGCGTCCTGGAAAACATGAACTTTTGCATTTTATTGCGGCTTT